TTTGCGATCAGATCTGAGGAATAACAAAGAAACCTGTTTTTCGTCTTTTCTTATAACATAATATTATAATATTATAATACATTGAAAAACGCGATTAAACATATAGTAATAATTCGTTATTCAATCGTAAAATATGCATACATATTCTGTTTGGAAAAAGAATAATTAGAATAAAAAATATGTTACCTATACATAATCGATTGCATGACTCAATAGTAGGGAGGTACCCACTGCATTGCATTGTGGCGAACACGTCTGTATTCACCGGGAAGCGGTGAAAGAAAGAAAAATGATTTATTTAAAAACTGTTGGTTATTACTATTTGTTACAGTAAAGGTAGGTAGGTACATTAGGAAATTTTATTTAAAAAACGTAAATGTACACATTTCTTGCGATCGTTGTCGGAGTGTAAGAAATAATAAACTGTCACTATGTCATTATAATTTATAACATAACCTGCAATGTAATAATAATGTATTTTGTCATTTAATCGAATAAAGTCCAATACACAAGAGTCCTTTACATTATTTTAGGGAATTAACGTTCCGACGACGGTGATGTCATCGCAATTATCATAGTCTCGGTGTCCCCATGCACATTAACCTGTGAAGGCATTCTTAACCGCGGCGGCGGACCGATTTACAACCGTGGGTATAATTTAAAAACAGACTTAATATACTTAAATCGATACACAGTCATTTTAGGCCTGGAGGCATTCGAAGAACACGTCATTATAGCGTTTGCTTCATTAATTTTTAATGTTTTACTATACGCTATGCCATTAGCCGGATGAATGATGGTGGCGACTGGCGAGTCCAGGCGCGATTAAATAATGACGTTTACTTACTAAAAATTTTTTTTCCAACTTTACCTACACAACACCGAGCCAAAACACGTTGCCAATGGCCGATATACCTATAGATAGAAACAGAATACCCTCGGCTGGTCCTTGTTAGGTAAGTCACAGCATGACGAAACGCTTTGTATTTTTTTCCGATCTTATTTTAGAGTTTTCCGCCATCGACGCTGTTTCCTATGTACGTACAACATCGCCATTGTCGGCGTAACGCCACATATAGCTTGTTGGAATATGTCACGACGAAATATGTCCATCAGTGTAGATTGCGCAATTTATCTCTATACCGTTTGTACTCGCGGTGTTCCTGCTTTTTGTGTCAAATGCGTATTATTTTTGTGCAAATAATATTATATTATGTGGCGGGGGTGTGAATGGTATCTATAAACATGCCGTGTATTTATTATTACACAACGATTTGTTCGAAATTGCGCAATAGATCCATTATAGTGGAATTACGGGCCTAAAAGAAGTAACAGATACGGTTAAATACAACGAACTTTTGTGAGATAATCTATACGACACATTGTGTTATTAATGTCTCAAACGTTCCCAATAGAACATTACCCTCGACCAGTGTTGTAATGCCTCTGTACAGGTATGAAATAATATTAATAAAATGATATTATATCTACATTTTAATTTATTGATGTATGTATAGAAAAAGTATGTGTTTTTCTTCGTGTTATGAAAACATTACGAATAATATTAAAGTAAAGTAGGTATACATTCAAATCTCACGGTTACTTTTTATTTTAATTATCAAAACTCAATTGAATATAACGTAAGTGGGTACCTGTTTACAAAAAAACTATGTTTTCAATTAACATTGATTGTATCATTCCAATGTTTACAAATTTATAAAATATGCAAAAACCTTATCTGTAATGTGTGCAAAAAATTCAAAGAAATAATAATAATTGTTCACGTCATGTGCAATTACATAGTTGTTGGTTTGGTACTACACTATTACAACAGCACATGCCTAGATACTGGAACAATGATAATGAGCAAGGCTTAGATTTTGTAGTAAATAAACGCATTTTGGGCGGGGAGTGTGATAAAAAGGTAATTGTATTGTTATATTTAAATTAATTTTGTATGATTATGATTGTAATGTAGTAAACTTTATCTTGATTTTTGCTTAATTTGACTTGTTTACTAAATGTTCCATTACTTTTAAACAATCTCCGAGAAAAATATGATATATTTCTTCCATTATATTATATTAGCCAGATCAGATACCATCAATTTTATCTCTAAAAAAAAATTCTTTTTAAGTCATCGACATTTTTTTGTTTGTCATCGATGTAATAAAATAATCAATATAATATATTATATTCCACATGATAAAATAATTATCAGCACAATATATATTATTGTAGCTGTAATTCAAAGTGGCAGTTTTAACTTATGGAAAGGGGAAAAATAATTTTATTTTTTTTAGTATTTTTCAAGTTTAAATTAAACGAGTTTCTTTTTTTCTATTTTTAGCAATTATAACTTATAACAAATGCTTTTTTAACGATTTATTTTGTTACAAAATCCGGGCCCTAATTATATAAGCATTTACGGGCTGAGTGAATTATAATTTACAACGCATCTATAGTTGAATACTACTGAAACGATTAAAGTGCTGGTTCACGATGGTCGATGACTAATGCAGTAGGTAGGTATGCTCGCAGAACACGTTAGTTTAAGTTTTTAAGTATTTTCAAACGCATCGAATCTAAACAGTAATATACCCAATAACTGTTTGTTCGCTCAGCCACTCGGCGCCACACGTCTTAGTGTCGCGCAATAATATTATCGCCGAAACATAATAATATTATTCATGTGGTGTTGGTTCGTATTGTAATGTGTCTAGGACTGGTTGTTTCCTGAATTCTGAAATTCCATTACCACGGACTACGGTCCACGGCCTCGCCAGGCACTTCCACCGTTACTATCGCGCAATGCCGTCGGTATTCTGTGCGAGGGCGGCCGTCGTAACAAAGTGAAAGTAAAAGTATATTGTAAATCGCATTCGATATAAAATCGTGGCAACGTCGTAACACACATACTCCTCGGCTATATCATACACCTGCAGTGCACTACAGAGGAATGTATATAGGTACTATATATGCTTAAGACGGCTTGGCAACCTGGTGGTGTATAGTATAGGTATAATATGCAGTATAATATTCTTAAAGTCGTTGCCGTCACGAACCAAGGACACCCGTCGCATACATGATACATATTATAGCTGTGGGGCGATGCCCATTTCATAATTAGTCGAAAATCGTTATTTATTTATTATTATTATTATTACTATTATTTTTTTTTTTTTTATAAGAGACTATAAGTATTTTTATGTACTGTAAAATTTGATACGATAAATGTATATCATCGCATTATAAATTACAATCCATTACATACCTACGTAAAACTCGCCATAATTATTGTGTTACATTTATGGTTATTATGTACGAAATTGCACTATAGGTGTATGTAGATGAATATTATTAAGCGTAGATACTGCATTATGTGGTGTATAGCAAACAATTATTACCTGATGAATAGTTAAGTACCTACAACACACATGCTCGTGAGCACAGTGCACTCAGGCTTTTTTTGTCTTTTCGATTTTCCATGTAAAATAACGAAAAATGAATTTACAAAGATTTGTCACTATTTCGTTGTAAATTAATAGAAAAGAAAATATTCACAGAAAATTGCTCTTTAACGAATTCACGACTAGGGAAATCGGAAAATATATGACATATTCGAAAATCTTAAAATATCAAATACTTACGAAGAGTTTGTTAATTCTTTTTTCAACGGATTGTCTAGTGACGTATAAGTACGCGTATAAATACTCATTAGGTCAGACACGACACTACGAGTTGCGACTCCCGGGGAAAATTTTGAATGCCAGGTCCCTTTTCAATAGCACATTTTTTTTTACTAGTCACTTTAAATTCTTGGCTTGATTAAATATAAAATTACAAATTAGTTAACTGCTTAGTATGTTATACTTATTACTAATAACTAATAAAAAATCCAAATAAAAATTAGTTAAACCAGGATTAAAAATCTTTTGCTGACTTATTGGACGTGAAAAGTGTTATGTTATGTTATTTTAATTTCATATTTATAAAATCCAACGTGTTTGCTTTTTATTTGTGTACCTTTGAAAACTGTTGCCAGGTCAATCTTTTGAGATAGTTTTAAATTATTTTGAGTTTAAAAAAGTTACTTTCGGCAGACGCTGAGGTTACTGGTATTGTTAATAAGATTTGAAGAGAAACTTCACAGTGTACCAGGCATCGTCTTTAAGAAAGTTAGTAGTACTGCGTATGAGTTTTTTTTTAAATTGCATTTCGAAAAACTAACATCTTTTCGTTGAATTCAGAAACAACTGTGTCACAAGAATCACCAACAGTTAAATAGTTCTGATAATTAAAGCAGTTTTTCCTCAGGCCTTCGTTATACTTACTCTTCGAAGTTTAGTAAAGTTGCACAAAAATCTAAACAAAGAGTCGGCGTCGACCGGTAAAACCGTTTAGTAAAATTATAAATTATAAATGACGCTTGTACATACAATTATTGTTTACACGAAAATATGACTACCTAGTACACATATCTAGAAATATTACTTTCCCATTTATTTGCTGCCATATTTCAGTATGGATTTTTAACGTTCTTCTAACTTCTAAGCACGAGGCTCTGGACATTTGCCTCATTTGCCCCCCCCCCCCCTCTAACTGTTTCCAAGCAATAACTTTAGTATAAGAAACATGAACAGCAATAGGAAATCAATCAAGAAAGTATGAGAATTTGAGATACCTATACATAAGATAGGTACATATACGATATTTTGGCAATAATTTAAGTTCAATTGAGGGTAGTCCATTGATATTATTTAAATTATTTTACAACACTTTCTAATATTATATCATTATCTACTACACTAAAAAAATATACCAGAATATAAATACAAAACCCGTTAAATAACATTAAAACTTTCATATAGTTACAATAACTGACCAGTGGCCATCATAATGACAGTATTATAATATCTTCAATTATTTGAGGCTAGAGACTAGAGTTATGTTATAACTATTTTAAAAATTAACAAGTGGTAAAAAGAAGTACAACATACCTTGAGCCACTGTTGTTCCCGCAAAAGCCAGTAAAGTAGCAGAGAAGATGATGACCAATACCGACATAGTTAAACTGTGTTCTGGACAAATTGTAGCTTGTTTCATACTTTTAAACAAAACTTGGAGTACGTCATGCAACAAATATCATGCACAGGTGTTTTCCTCGATTCCAATGATGAATCCAGTACATTGTATGGTGCAGATTATTTCGTCATAAGCTTGTGGTGGCGGTGACACCACCTGCATTTCTGTGTGGCGATCGCTTGTCGGCAAACATTGTAAACTTATGTGTCAGCGGCAATGACCTTATCGACTTCTGGAACTCTTGACCAGTCGAGAATACTGATAATACGACCAATTCAAATATTAATTTACAAACTAACATAAACCGTTTTTCGTTTAAACTCTTTAAAGGAAGCTACAAACTCACTCACACTTATGCCGATTTAATGGTTTTGTTATTAAATAAAAGAAAACAGAGACAAAATATCGGTTATTATTAAAATATTTTCTTACGGTTGATGTGTGTTATTGTGTACAGTGAGCCGTTGCTTCTTCCTCGGTATAGTATTTTTAATTTTACTCTTACAACGCACTAATTATTAAAATAATAAATGCACACCGGTTACATTCGAATCATGCGTAGAAAATATAACGGGTAACGAAAAGCTAAGTATTAACTATTATTGTTTGATGAAAACAAATCTTATAGAGAAAGCGCGAATATTATTGAATAAAACAAATATTTACCGTCGTCATGTGCACTGAAAAAACTTCTTTGGATCTCCGTACGCTAGCTAAGACTGCAGAGTCAATGCCTGTACGGTGTAATGGTCGAACGAGGCGGCGGTGGAAGTGGCAGTGGCTGTGGTGGCGGTGGCCCGTCGAGGCCGAAGCGTTGTGTAACAGCGTCGCACGCCTTCGCTATATCGTCGTTCGGTCGCCGACGTCGAGAAACGAAAGGAGAAGGAGTGTTCAGGTATCTGCTGGCATAATAATATAAAAATGTTATATCGATATTGTTATTATTACCATTATTGTCATTATTATAATGTGGCCGTATATAATACAACGACCAGCGGTCAAGACGCAAGCAGAAAGGCCATGGTGGCAGTTGTGGACCAATGTTACTAACCTTTGCAGTAAGTTTAAAATATTAATATATTCTGTGGGCACGCGACAAGAACTGCGAGTCGAGTATCATAATGATATTATGACGGTCTGTACAGTGCGCGATAGGTGTAATTGTACCTCAAGTAGGTATCTCTGTGTACGACTACAACGACGACGACGACAATGACGAGGAGATTTCGTGCAGCTAGGGGAAGGAGAAGACTCTGCATTGTTGACCACTGTTGTTAAAAAGAGAGAAGTGGTAATACAATATTATGCAGATGTATATATTATGACGTGTAGGTACCACCCAACTGTATTATTTTATTATATAAGATTACATATTAATATATACGAAAAACAAATCCGTTCCAACAAAATCCTATTACTAAATGTCAGACAACATTACTGTCGTACGGGTGGGTATATCATAGATGAGCGGACATGTATATAATCTGTAACCACGAAATGCGTTTAATTATATTTTTAAGTAGTCGCAATGTTCTGTCCGTCTAAATGATAAAAGATTTTTGAAAAAAAAATACTTGGCTAAATTGTGTATAAAAAAAAAAATAGATACCCTATAGATGTACAAACCTGCATTAATATAAACTTTTGAAAACCCTCACAAACATATTTCACAATAATAAAAGTTTTCAAGTTGTATCATAGTGAAAGCATTTTGTTTCTACGACCATTGAGTCAAGCATTATAGGTGTTCTAGTTGGAGTAGGTACTATAATATGCTTCGTAAGCGTGCTTTCGCAGTAGGGTTTGAAGATACTGTTGCGCTCTTGTTAGTTTTAAGTACCAGCAACTCGTTTAAGCAATAAAAAATATCTTAAACCGAAATGAAAAATGAAAAAAAATATCAAATAATATCATCTATATGGTAAATAAAGTATTATGAAGTATTATTGTAATATTAAACATACAGTATTCAAAAACTATGGATATTGACTATTGAATAATAGATATTTATCATTTTTTTTTCAAATGAGGGTTAACTTTCCACTCTTTTTAATTATAAAATGTATAGGCTATTTGAAACTTATTTTGTAAATACGCAAAAGTCCATTATTACCTACTGCAGGCTACCATACAGTTGTCACGTTTTAGCGTGTGAAGTATTCAAGTATTGTAGTACACTTTCCTAATGATAATTATTTTAATATTTTAATGGTCAGAAACAAAATAATTATAAAATCTAAATTCACTCGACCGGAGAAAAAAGCGAAAAGACGCATTTGATAGTTTATTTTCTATGAGACTTGAGTTATATATAAATAGCTGAACACGCATACAAATAACGTATTTTACATTTCTCATTAAGAACAAGTTTTGACAAAGAACACAAAAATGATAAGTGTATCTATTTTTAATGTTTGTACAACATTTTTTAGATTTGCTCAACCGATACATTTTGATAACACAAAAAAGGTGTATAATAGCTACATAATTGTAGTATGATGTTTAATTTAATCATCTTGAACGAGAAACGTGTAGTATTCTAACTTATATTTGAATTAAACTCGAAAATTTACTTCAAAATAGCATTAAAGAAAGCAATGACTGTGGAGTGATTTGTCCGCCACTGTGAGATATATAGTATAATTACCAATACTTTTTAACGTTGGAGTACACTTAATTATTATTTATTTTACACTCGAATAACCGGTATTATTAATGTATAAGATAATTATCAATAAAGTGAAAGAAGCAAAAATATTGTAAAAAATAATAATAAATAAGAATACGAATGCCTCGACATAAAAAATGTACAAGTAGTTGTTTGAAGTAATTAAAGGAAAGATAAAAAAAGCCTCAATAATTTAACTGTGGTAAGTAATCTATAACTCAATCGATAGAACTAATAATTTAAAGCACTGAAATGCATAAAATATGAATGTAATACGTTATAATTAAAAAAAAATTATAAAAATGCGATTAAAATAACAACGACAAAAAATATTTTTATTAATAATTATACAGAAAAATGAACGAAATAAAATTCTTGCTTCTTGTTCATCTTCTATAAACATACAATTTTTTACTTCGAATTTTAATATAATATTATAACTTACAGATAATAATATAGTTTATTAAAGAGTTAATTTGTTGATCTAACCATTTTACCAAACTTAAAAGGCACTTTGATATTTTTGAATTTTAATTAATATACGTAAATCTTAACTACCTATAATATCTGTTGAACAACTTTAAATATCAAAATAATATTACATGATGCGTGTTGAAAGTCTAATATATTAAGAGCTGAACATATGGACGTTTTTAGTTTTCTCTGTCCAGCAAGGTATAGCAAAAAAATTTAAAAATAATTGTACTTCTTTCTTACTTGATCTAATCATAATTTTAAAACCCTCAATATTATGATAAACTAATTTTATCTAAATTAAAAATATATAAATATATGTACAACAAAATGTGATAGAATTAAGAGATTAAGTGTGGACAGTGTAGTGCACTTATCTTGATGAGCTCAACTCATCACACACTCGGCACATAATTTTATTACTATACATTTGAATGCAATCAAATAACAACTGAGATGAGCAATTTACTATATTTTTCAAAACCTTATTACAAACAATTTAAAAAAGGAGAACCGAGAACTAGTCATTATAATAGTATAAATAACTAAAGATAAAAGTGTTTTAAACATTAATTGAACATATTATGATTATAAAATATATACACATATATGTTCTGTATATTCAGTCTTGAGAGTCTTATATTAAAACGTCAAGTGCTTAAAATCTTAATCAACAAATGCAATTATAAACACCAGTGAACTCGCTCTGCTATATGGTGGTAAGTTTCAAGTTTACCTCGCCCTTGAGTAGGTTTCAGTGATGGATGTGAATAAATCATTGCTTATTTTTATTTATAAAATAAGTCTGGTCAAAGATGGTATGTCGTATAGTATTATTAATTCTTATACATTTTTCTATATTTCTATATTGTAATATCCAATTTCATTTAAATTCATATAACTATGAAAAATATTTGTGACAATATAGCTTAATTTTTATGTATCAGTAAGAAATACTTATGAGTAGCCTTGAATTAAATTTCCAAAAATGTTGAGCAAACCTAAAATATTTTATCAACACTTTAAAAAATAAACATTTTAAAATAATAAGGTACTTACCTTTAAAATATCCTAAAATTAGTCTAAGTATTTTTTAAATCTCATTGAGAATATTATAGTACGAAAATATAAATATAGCAGTAATATTTTAAAGTTATGTGATTATTAATTTTTGAATAAAAATAAAAAACTAAAATTGTTATTTCATGCATAATCGTCGAATGTCTTTAAAATTTGATACTCAATCGCTTATAAAAAATATATGTGACTCAATTCTAAACAATTTCTTATTTCATTAAGAAATACTCATAATAGGTACCTTGTATTAAATATTTCAATTTTCAAACCTTTAGTATAAAAATATTAAAAAATGCATAAATTATAATACACAAAATAATTTGCTAATTTTCTCAATTTTCTCGATGATGGCAAAATATGTTGAGGAAAATTCGAACATTAAACGCACATAAGAAATCATTGTATACGCATTTATAACACAATATAATATGTATACACAAATTATTTTTTTAATTCCTGTGTAGACAATTTATGAAGAACCTTGTGTTCATTTTCAAGCTCTTTGACCAAGCATTATCTTACAAACAATTAGAAAATACACCAAAAAATATTTAAAATATAAAAAATTGTTAAAAAGATTCTAAAACAATTATTGAGTGTATTTTTCTGCTGTATTAACTTGAAAACGCAGTGGTGAATACACAAAGAAGAAATTACAAAAGGCATAATTATCTAAAAATTATTATATACAAGGAGTATATTAATATCAAATAATCTCATAGACAAACCAAATATATATATAAAAAATATTATAACTAATAACTATATTATAACTGTATTAGTATATTATATTAAGTACCTAACTATAAAATATAATATGTATTATTAAAAATAATATTTCTTAAAGGATATGTGTTGTATAGGTAGCTCGTTAAATAATAAGTATATTTTGGGTGTTTTAATGATTTTTTTTTTATTATTATTATTATAAATTATTATTATTATTGAAATAGCTTGCAGTGCAAACTATTACAATTCAACAATTAAATATGATATTATACATATAGGCGGTTAATATTAGATACCAACTTACATTTAATGATGTTATCATAAAATATAAATCTATATCCATTCTAAGATTTTCAAAACATTTATTTTTTTTTTACATTTTCCGCATGCATAGTGCATACGCAATTGTTAATTTCGCGACTTCTGTAGACTGCAAAAAAATTTAAAAAAGTCAACACATTTTTTAAAATACTACGACCATTACCATACATTTAGAAAATGCTTATATTTATACTTCGAGATAATTTCGAATATCTACAGATATTTATTTATAAATTACAACAGAATAAGATAATCTGGTTTTGTATAAACATTTCAGTTTTTCCGTATTTGTTTTTTGTTAGGTTCAGAGGATGTCAACGCAATATTTGCTTTCTCTCTCAGACTCAAATATAGGCGCAATATAGATAAACTGTTTTGACCTAAAATCGTTTTTTATGATTTTTTGAGTGACCTTAGAGTAAAATCACTTTTTACAAAAATTACAGAAAATAATATTTCTGAGGGTGTGACTATAACAAATCGGTTTTATATTTTATTATTATTTGACTTAGTATTCAATTTTCAAAATAAAAATTATTTTTGTAAATTTAAATATTTGAATTGTTTTGAGACAATATTTAGACACATCGTTTGTCATTCACTCAACAATATTATTCTCTATTTATTTTTTAATGGATGGTTTTGCTCTATGATTATTCAAAGGAATGTATTGATTTTACATTTTTTATTTGTATTATTTTTTGTTTGTATACAAGGTATAAGAATTAATGCTTCGATTTTCAACAATTTTTTCCAAACGTTTTTATGAACGTCTAAAGTTATGTATCTTAGTTAAAAAAATCACTGGCATTTGCAAAATATTTTGAAAAAAAAAATTCATATCAGTTTACATATTATATCTAAAATTTGAAAATTGAATACAAGATTCCTCATAAGTTTTCTACC